ATTGTCTTCTATATTTGTGAGTCTGTTTTTGATTCGTTTTTTCTTTTTGTTCCGTAGATTCCACATATAAGTGACATCATATGGTATTTATCTTTCTCTGTCTGACTTATTTCACTCAGCATAATAACCTCTAGGTCCATCCATGTCATTACAAATGGTAGGATTTCATTTCTTTTAATGTCTGAGTAATATTCCATTGTATATATGAACCATAACTTCTTTATCCAATCATCTATTGATGGGCATTTAGGTTGCTTCCATATTTTGGCTATTGTAAATTGTGCTGCCATGAATACAGGAGCGCAGAGATCTTTACGAATTATTGTTTTGGTTTTCTTTGGATACACTTTGCATTCTTAACAGCAGTATATGAGAGTTGCAATTGCTGCATATCATTGTGAGTACATGGAATTGTTAGTATTTTGTTGTTGTTTCCAGCTATTCTAAGTAGGTATTTAGTTTTATGTAATTGTAGTTTTAAATTATATTTCAGTATTTACTAATCATTTTGGGCAAATTTTTTATGTACTTTTTGTCATCCAAATATCTACTTTGGTGAAATAAGTTATTCAAATCTTTTCCACATTTAAAAAAAGTTGAGTTGTTTTCTTATCGTTGTATTTTGAAAGTTCTTTACATAACCACAGATACAAGTCCATTATCAGATATGTGCTTTGCAAATATTTTCTCCCAGTGTCTGGCCCATTTTTTCTTTTTTTTTAATTCTTAAAACAATGTCTTTTGAGAGAAGTTCAGAGTTTTTTAAATTAAATTTATTGAGGTGACATTGGTTAATAAAATTATTTAAGTTTCAAGTATACAATTCAATAGTACCTCCTATGTGGATTGCATTGTGAGTTCACCACCCAAAGTTAAGTTTCCTTCCATCACCATGTATTTGGCTCCCTTTATCTTTACCTATCTCTTCCTTCCCCTTTTCTCTCTGGTAACCACTGTACCGTTATCTGTGTCTATGGGTTTCTGTTTGTTGGTTTGTCTTGTTCATTTGTTGCTTTCAGTTTATATCCCACATATAAATGAAATCGTATGGTTCTCAACTTTTGCTGACTTATTTTGCTTAGCATGATAATCTCAAGATACATCCATGTTGTCACAAATGGCAGTATTATCTTTTCTTTTGGCTGAGTAATATTCTATTATATCACACATTCTTTATCCAATCATCTATTGATGGGCACTTTGGTTGTTTCCATGTCTTGGCCCTTGTGAATAATGCTGCAATGAACATCAGGGTTCATATATCTTCATGGATAAATGTTTTCAAATTTTTTGGGTAGATACCCAGAAGAAGGATTGCTGTGTCATATGGTAATTCTATTCTTAATTTTTTTGAGAAATGTCCATACTGTTTTCCATAGTGGCTATACTAATTGACATGTCCACCAGCAGTGTATGGAGGTTCCTTTTTGCTTACAAGCTCTCTAATGTTTATTAATTGTCCTGTTGATGATAGCCATTCAAATAGGTATGAGATGATTATCTTATGGTGGTTTTGATTTCATTTCCCTAATAGCCAGTGAAGTTGAGCATCTTTTCTTGTGTCTGTTGGCCATTTGTATGTCTTCTTGGGAGAAGTGTCTGTTCTTGTCCTCTGCTCATTTATTAATTGGATTATTTGTTTTATATTGTTGAATTGTATGATTCTTTACATTTTTGGATACTACACCCTTATCAAAGGATTGTTTGCAAATATCTTCTCCCATCTGATTGGTTACCTCTTCATTTTGTTGATAGTTTCTTTTGCTATGCAGAAACTTTTTAGTTTGATATAATCCCATTTATTTATTTTTGCTTTTACTGCCCTTGCCACTGAAGTAAAATTCATAAAATCCCCTCTAAGATCAAGGTCTATGAGTTTAATATCTATGTTTTCTTCTATGCAATTTATTGTTTCAGGTCATATATTTAGGTCTTTAATCCATTTTGAGTTAATTTTGGTGTATAGTGACAGACAGCAGTCTAGTTTCATTCTTTTGCACATGGCTTTCCAATTTTCCCAGCACCATTATCGAAGAGGATTTCTTTGTACCATCATATATTTTTGGCTCATTTGTCAAAAATTATTTGCCCATATACGTGGATGTCTTATTTCTGGGCTCTCAATTCTGTTCCATTGGTCTGTGTGTGTGTGTGTTTTTCTACCAATACTATGCTGTTTTGATTGCTGTTGCTTTGTAGTATAGTTTGAAGTTAGGCAGTGTGATACTTCCGGCCTTAAGTTTTTAAGAAGTCAAGTTCACCAATTTTTTTGCTTAAAAAGATCATGCTTTTACAATTTAATTAAGAAATATTTGGCCCAGTCATAAATATGTTCTATCTTTCCCAGTAAAAAGATATAATTTTAAGTTTAAATCAAGTCAAAGATCTATTTTTAGTAAATGTTTGAATATGGTGAGAACATAGGTTGTGTTTCTCTTTTTTAAGGATGTTCAGTTTTGCCTGTACCTTTACCATTTTAACACTGAATTGTTTGTACACCTGTGATGAAATCAACTGGACACATTTGAAAGGGTGTATTCTAGACTCTATATTCTGTTCCATTATGTTCTATGGCCATTCTTTCACCAATACCACATAGTCCTGATTAAATGCTTTAGAGTATGTTTTATAATAAGTCTTGACACCATGTAGAATGAGTTCTCTAATTTTTTTCTAAATTATTTTGACTATTCTAGTTCTTTTGTGTTTCCATATAAATTTTAGAATCAGTTTATCAATTTCTAACAAAAACTTCTGGTTGAATTTTTATTGAGATTATGCTCCATTTATAGATCAATTACAGAGAATTGATATCTTTATTATATTGAGCCTTCCAATCCATAAACACTGAGTTTCTCTTTATTTATTAATGTCTTCTTTAATTTATTTAAATGTTTAGTTCTTATTACCACTCAATTCTTGCACATGTATTGTTAGATTTATCAGCAAATATTTTGTGGAGCTGTTGTAATTAGTACTTTAGAAATGTTAATTTTAATGGTTTATTGCTAGTGTATAGACATAACATCAATTTCTGTATGTTAAGCATGTGTCTTACAACCTTACTAATCTTCAGTCTTTCATGTTGTTCACACAATCATGTCATAAGTGAACAAAGTCTATTTTATATCTTCCTTTCTAATATGTATGCCTATTTCTACATCTTGTCTTATTGTACTGAAGAGGATATTCACTACAGTGATGAATAGGATGGTAAGAGTAACATTCTTTTCTCATTACTACTTCAGTGAGAAATAAATTAGTTTTTTACCAGTAAGTATAATGTTAGCTATGGGATTCTTGAAGGTGCCTTTTATCAGGTTGAAATAGTTAGGTCCTTCTACTCCTAGCATACTGAGAAGGTTTATAATGAATGATAATTAATTCTGTCAAATCCTTTTTTTTTTTTGTATCTATTAAGATGATCATGGATTTTTTTCTTTATAGTCTCCTAATATGGTAAAGTATACTGATGAATTCTTGAATCTGAAACAACCTTGCATTCATAGAGTAAATCCTACTTGATTCTGATGCATTCTTATTTTTATATATGACAGATTTTTTTTTCTGTTAATACTTTGTTTATAAGTTTTGGTTTTATGTTCGTAATGGGTATTTTTAAAAATTTTCCTGCAATGTCTTTGTCTGGTTTTGGTATCAAAGAAATGCTTTCCTCATGAGATGCGGTGAGAAGTATCTCCTCCTCTTGTATTTTCTTGAAGAGTTTCTAATAGAGCTGCTAGTATTATTCCCGTGACAACATGGGGCCTGAAGTTCTCTTTCTGAGGTTTAAGTGTCAAATTTATTGACATGAAGTTATACAGGTTATTCCCATATTATCCTTTAAATGCCAGCAGGATATTTAGTAATGTCTTCTTTTCCATTCTTGATATTGGTAATTTGTATCTTCTATTTTCTTGTCAGACTGGCTATAGATTTATCCATTTTATTGATCTTCTCCAACAACTAAGTGTTAGTTTCATTGATTCTCCCTCCTTTTTTCTCTTTTAAATTCACTGAGTTCTACCTTGATTATTTGTTGCTTCTTTGTTATGGGTATAATTTGCTCTTCTTTTGTAGTTTGTAAATAAATTTAAATTTTTGAAATAAGAAATTACCTTATTGCCTAACATATGGTACTAAAGATTGTTCTATATGTACTTGAAAACAGTAAAGATTTCGCTATTGTTCAGTGGTTCTTTTTCTTCAAGTGTCAAATACCCTCCTGTGTCTCCCTGGTTTTAGACATGCTGTGATGCCTTAAACATTGTTTTTTAAGTACAGGCATACCTCAGATATATTGCAAGTTTGTTCCAGCCTACAGCAGTAAGTGAGTATCAGAATAAAGCAGGTCACAATTGTTTTGCGAGTGAGGGTTGTGCCTTCAATTTGTAAAAAACACAACATCTATAAAGTGCAATAAAGCAAAGCACAATAAAACAAGGCATGCCTGTATGTTTGTTTTGTCCAGTTTTTCAATCTTATTGGTGAAGGGGTGGTCTTTTACAATTTACTGTACCACTTCCTCTAGCCACAACTGTCATACCACTTGTATTAAGAGATAAAACTTTCTTATTTTAAGGCAGTGTTTGTTTTCTGATGCTTTCAAGCAAAAAAAAAAAAAAAAATTCATGCATACACATAGTGAATAACAAT